TAACGCAGACTTTTGAAGATCATCTAGAGGTGTTGAGGAAGGTTTTCCAGCGTCTTCAAGCCGCAAATGTGACCCTTAATAAGGAAAAATGCCACTTTTGTCAGAGCGAGCTACGCTATCTTGGTTATGTGGTAGATGTTAGAGGACTTCGGGTTGACCCTGAAAAGGTGGAGGCAATTACCAGGATACCAATTCCAACTAGTCAAAAGTCAGTCCGTCAATTTTGTGGTACTGCATCGTGGTATCGCAGGTTCATTCCCAATTTTGCCAGTCGACTGTACCCTTTATCGTCCCTTCTCAAGAGAAGCAATAAATTCGTGTGGACAGAAGAGGCTCAAAAATCTTTCGATGACATACGGAGCTGTCTTGTTAAGGCGCCCATCCTTAGCTGTCCTGACTTCAGCAGACCTTTTACAATTTCGTGTGATGCCTCTGGAGTTGGTCTTGGAGCTGTTTTGAGTCAGACAGATGAACAAGGGGAACATGTGATCGCCTATGCCTCACGCACATTAACAAGGGCGGAACAGAAATTTTCTGCAACTGAGCGGGAGTGTTTGGCCGTGATCTGGGCCGTTGAGCGGTTTAGACCGTATGTAGAGGGCACTCACTTTACAATTGTGACAGACCACTATAGCTTATTATGGTTGCACAATCTGAAGGACCCCCAGGGTAGGTTAGCACGTTGGGCCCTGCGTCTACAACCCTATAGCTTTAATTTGATTCACAGGAAGGGTAAGGAGCATGTTGTGCCTGATATGCTGTCTAGGTCCCTGGAAATGGACGAAAATCCAGTAATGGTAGCCAGAATTGATGGAACTGAGGATAAATGGTATACGAAGATGATTCAACAAGTTACGGAACATAGTGATAAATACCCTTCATGGCGAGTCGATGGAAATGTGTTGTGGAAATTGGTCCCTGTTTGCACAAGATTGGGTGATGGAGGTTCTGAGTGGAAGAAAGTGGTTCCAAAAGGAGAGCGTTCTGAAATCATCCGGATGTGTCATGACGTACCGACTGCGGGTCATATGGGCTCTTTCAAAACCTGTTCTAGAGTTAAACTGCAATATTATTGGCCCAAGATGCAGGAGGATATTGCAAGGTATGTCTCCCGTTGCAAGATTTGTCAAACGACTAAAAGTGACCAACAAAAACCCACTGGATTCATGGGAGCTCGTCGTGGTGTTTCAGAACCTTGGAAGATGATAGCCTCAGATTTAATTGGGCCCCTGCCAAGATCTACTTCTGGGTACAAATACATTTTGGTAGTGACAGACACCTTCAGCAAATTCACCTTATTGTTTCCTCTACGAGCAGCAACAAGTTCACTAGTAGCAAAACATTTAGAACAAGATGTCTTCTTGATATTTGGAATTCCAGCATACCTCGTTTGTGATAACGGATCTGAGTTTACTGGAAGGGCTCTAAAGATGCTGGCTAATGAATATAAAGTCAAGATTTTGTATAATGCCAGTCGACATCCTCAAGCAAATCCTGCCGAGAGAGTAAACAAAACTATTGGAAATATGCTACGAGCTTTTGTAGGCGATAACCACCGGCAATGGGATAGAGAGCTTCCCAAGATTGCTTTTGCTCTCAGAACAGCCAAACATGAGACTACTAACTACTCACCGGTCTTCTTGAATTTCGGAAGAGAGTTGCTTCTTAGAACAGAACCTGCTGAGTCCATTGAAGATGGTCAAGAAGTAGAAGAATCTGAAGATTACGGCTGCAAGATGAAAGAACTGAAGACACTGTACCAGGAAGTTCAACAGAGGTTGGATGACGCTTACAGCAAAAATTGTGCGAGATATAATCTTAGAAGACGACATTTGGAATTCAAGGAGAATGATCAAGTCCTCAAGCGAAACTTTCCAGTATCTGATGCTGTAAACCATTTCTGTGGAAAGTTGGCACCCAAGTTCACTGGTCCATATATTGTGGCAAAAAGGATCTCTCCTATAATTTACCAACTGAAGAAAGAAGATGGCACTCTGATCGGAAATTGGCACATCTCTGACCTCAAACGTTACATTGCATAAGAAAATTTGGGAAATTTTCTAAAGGAGGAGGAGTATTTGTAACAATTGATATACTCTATTGCCTCACTAACTATCATTTATTGAAGTTGGCCACTTCAAAAGATGAATTAACACCTTTTTGAGTTGATGAGCGCGCAATCAGCTCAAATAAAAAAAAAAATAGAGGATCATTTCAAACAATTACTTCAAACCCAACCAGACAATAGCCATTGTATCAGTTCACCAGCTCAACTGATAAGGATGTTTCAACTGATAAGAGAGTAGCCGGGAGCAGAGCGGTCCAAACCTTGAACAAGACCAGTTGTACCTGTCTGAAGATTCTTCATGTTGTCTTCATGAAGATTGAAGAATATTCACCCTCGCACTCAATGTGGATTTTAACCATTTATTTTTAAATGGATGAGGTATGTTAATGTTATATTCTATATGATTGAATTTCAGTTACATAAATTGCAAAATTATGATATTTTATCCAGAGTTAATTACCAAATTCAAACCACATGTTCTTGTATCATGTAAAAACAATCCTGTTCAGGTCTACTCCTCAAAAATTGAATATTTTGTTGGAATATTAATTTATTAGGTTCATTAAATGTATTTTTAAACGTTTTCATGTGTCCAAAATAACTTAAAAATCTATATCAAGGTAGTCTGTGGAAAATAATACAACAATGTGAATATTTTGTTTATGTATTTAAATTAATTGAAGAAATAATTATCTTTTGAAATTAGTCTACTGTTTCCTAGAATAAATAATGCTTTGAAATTATAATTAATTGTCATATAAAAATATTAATATTACTATTTCAGTACCCTTTTAAAAAAATGTTAATTTAATTCACAAGTAAATATGCTACTTTAGTTCTTAAAGAAGTAAACTAAAAAAAGAAACAATAATACACTGGTTTGAACTGCATTATAGTTAATTTATTTTAATTTGTAAAAGTGTTCAATTAAATGTTAGCTTTGTTCTGTTGAATGTTTTGAAGGGTAAAATATTATCAATTAATTAGTTGAAACTGAATATGTGTTATATGTGATAAATAATATTGTATTGCCACTCATGAAAGGATAACACACAAAGTATATTAAATTGTATGTAAATCTTGTGTATTACTGAGAAATTAATAGTTAACAAATGAATGAGTTATTTATATATTGTAAATAGTTTGAAGTTGGAAATGTTATTAAAGTAGAATTATGTAGCCCACATTAGTATTCAACTAACTGATGAATTTAAATGATGTATCGCATATTGAGTATAATATTTTTAATTGGAGATTCTGTTGAACAAAAAATAATTGGATTACAGTAGGCCTTGATGTAAATATCAGTACAGTACTTAAAACAGAATATTTGTATTCAACATATTCAATTTAATCTATTATTTGCTTGTTTTACTTCCAACACAATTAATGTTTTATTTGTATAAAGTATAGTGTAGGGTAACTTAATGATGGATTAATTAAAATAATTGTTTATTTTATGGAGAACTTGCAAAAGGATTAAATAATTATGTAACAGCATTTATGTGTATATTTCGGTAATTGCTTAAGACTATTTATTGGGTTTATTGTACAGGGTTTTTGTGAGCCCTTCACGCCATACTTGGAGGATCTACTGTGACAGCCTACAGGACTTGCCTACTGTGATTACCAGTATCTTCACACCTATCTGGACCTCATTGACCCCGTGACCTGTGTGCTATCTACTTGTGTGAGACAAATCGGTCTAGACCGGAATTCCCTTGATAGCTACCTTGTGCGGTGGACTTGGTGAGTGACACATTTACCTATTATTTATTGCCTGGACTTAACAAGGACTTATTGGAGGACAGCTCAAGACACTTGGACTATTCACGCCTGCCCGGATTAATCTTTTAGGTTAAATGGGGCCCCGGTCATTGAGTTTTCATGTATTTGTAATTTAGCTAGTAAGATTTTGGTTAGTGTTTGTTATTGTATTTATATGTTTTTGAAACTGTGCATTTTAGGTGAGCTATTGAATGCTTTGAGCTTCAGAAGGTATATTGAGATTATCTGATCTAGAATTATATTCTGTTTCTTATCCAGCCATTTGAGCACACCTCAGAGGGAAAAGATATTACATTGATTGCAATACTGTATTCACAAATCAATTGATTTATCTATTTATTTATTTGTATAGTTGCTAGTGATTGTCAATTGCTCTTGATTGCCTTAATTTCAAAGGATTAGATCCTTGGTTGCATGGGAATGTAAATAATAAATTATTGTTCTATTGACCTTGTGTATTATCATATTTGGTATAATAAATTCTCTAGCATGGCCATGTACACAAGCGTTGTTGTGTTCCTGTGTACTGTCTAGTTTAAAAATTTATTGTCGTAAGTTGGTTTAATTATTGATTGGTTGATTACTTTTGACACTTAAAAGGATTTTGAACTTAGTAAACTACCCAAAAGTTCTTGGTTAGTAGTAAACTATATAGCCTGAGTTATCTAGTCATATCATCAACTGATAAGGGGTATGTGAGTTCTATGCTAAACTGGGTAACCATTTACTACTGCTGATTATAAGTGAACTTGCTGATAATAGTATTATTGTTGTTGTCATTTTGGAGTAATAATTGGTTTGAATTTGGTAAGCTATTAGCCGCCCAGCTGATTGTTTCTTTTTGTTATCTCATCCAAAATATCATCCCATGAGTACAGGAGAACTTCCTTGTTGGACCCTGTTTAAATTCTACTCTACAACACGGTGGCGCCCAGAAATAAACACTAAGAACATTCAGTTTGGATTATTTAGTAAGGTGTAAGCTTTGAGTTGGACCACCCCTTCTCCCTGAGAAAGCTGAGGCAAATTTGGGAAAGGTTACAAAAGGTTACAGTTGTAAACTAAACCTATAGTTTCCTAGCACTAGCAATAAGAAAAACTCCACCTATTTGACCTTCAAATAAGAAGACATTAGCTTACTAACCTGAGCAGTTGGGGTATTCCTGTGTTCAGGACTTGGGAGATTTTCCCCCTTCCACTCGTTGTCGGTTGTTTCCTCCGAGTCGTCAAATTGCGACTTCCACTGAGATGCCAGGGTCAGTCCTAAAACATTTCAATAGTATCAGAAACCTCAGTAGAGAACCCAGGTTTTGATGATCAGGCAACAACAATTTATAAGAATCAATATTAGTAGTAATAGTTTAAGATAACAAACTATGTCTTAATCTGCGTAGCATCCAAACAGAAGCAAAATATTTATTCTAGATCACAAGAGGACCGTAAGAGGACACTTAAGAGGATTTTAAGATTCAACATGAAATATTTCTTTGCTTCTGATCTAATCTTTATTAGGCTACCATAATATTGAACCTACATTACACAAAATTCAATTATCATAACCACAACCCTCCAAAAGAAAGAAATGCATTACCATGCTAATTAATTTGTTGTACGTTTAATATAATTTTAAAGTTTAAATCTAAAAAAAAACCTTTACAACCAGTAAGAGCCATATTGTGTTATATATCAAATATATAAAATTTGAAACACAATATTAATTTTTATTCATTGAAACAATTTAAGTCCCTATTTTACATATAATGGCAACTAGACAACCCTTCTTCAGATTGATTTTTTTTTTAATATGGTACAATAAATTTGTAAACAAAAAGGGCAATCACACAGATAGACATTCTTATATTTATGTTAATGATATTTAATTTAATTTATTGTCATAATAAATAAAGATTTATTAAAGATTTTTATTATTTTATTCATCATCTATAATAAATGTGGGGTCTTGATCAAGGCCACATTTCTCTAATGGCTGCCGGGGGCCTAACATAATATTTTTTTATTCCCTTTTGATAGGGGATGGATTTTAGAGCTGAACTTTTGTTCTTGCGATAGCCAAAAGCTATTGCAAAAGAATTGCAGTGAAATCCTGTGTCACTTATGACTAAAGAGTTAACATTAAAACTACAATAGAACCTTTCAAATGTAGTTAAATCATACTAATATTATACATGTGAAAGTTTTTGCCTTTATTTGTTTGTTTGAAGTTCAATCATGCATTAACTACTGGTATGATTGAGCTGAAATTTGGCATTATGATAGCTCAGATTCCCGATTAACATATATAAGCCTATTATTATCTAAAAAGTCCTTTCGGGCTCCGCGCCAGTGGCTCTGGAATTTCCCATGTTAACCTTATGAGTATTCATATTTAAAAGGAATTAAAGAATTTATAGTCAGCTGTTTCAACTAAACAAGTTGGTTACATGATATTCAATAGCATTAAAAAGTTATAAGGTTTACCAACAGGGTACAGCACTATTAATTCTTTTGCATTATTTTATGATAACAGCTAATTTGAACTAAGCAGCAGCAAAAAGCTGCCATACACAATGAGAACTGTTAAAGTAGGATTGTTTACAGTTATGTTTATGTGTTCAATTTAATAATTGGCGACAAGCATTCAACAGAAATACTTGGTGTGTGTTTGAAAATTATGCAATGGAACGTGACGCAACACTAGACTATAGACAACACAAATGATTAAATACCCTCGCCGCAGCAAACCTGCCGACTAAGCGAATTTCCATTTGTCTGAATTGATTTTCAGTTAAATATATTTTAATAACATTAGGCTTAACGAGTACCTAGGTTTGCTGCTAGAAGGAAACTAATAAAGTGTGTTTTTGAGTAAAATATTGATAGCTTAGTACAAAATAAATAAATTTGCCAAGTTTGATCAAAATATATCCATAAACAAGCAAACTAGGCCTACAACATTTGACAATATTCTCCATAAGAATAACATGGGAATTTTAAATTTACAATTTTTTAAATTTTCTCCGTTACTAATAATCGAACAAAAATACTTTTATATACTAAATTATTTGTTTTTTTAAGCTCTTTAAAAAGGTCTAAAGAGAAATCGGGAAATTTTGTGTTTTGAGGGTCAAAAGTGAGAAAAACCAATTTTTACCCCATAAAACCCCCCGTAAAGCCCCATTCCCATGGTCTGATCGTGCTGGTTCGCGAACTCATTCAAGTTTATCTCGCTTTACACCTTTAAACCAAATTTCATCAAAATCGGACAAAAATTACTCAAGTTATCGCGTTCACGGACGTATATATATATAAAAATTTGAACGAATGGTGTTTTTGGCCTCTAGGGACATCAAAATGAAAAAGTAAATCGGTCCCGGGTCTAGGTCTTACCGTGCCACCTACGGTAATAGCTACTTCCCTATAGGGAAATTCGCTAAAATATATTGAATGGACAGAGAGAGCACTAGCACTACATTGCAGAGCATTAAAATGGAAAGACGAGCCTGCTGGAATGAGTTCTTCTGGTGGAATAATTTCTTTACCTGTATTAGAAGAGCCGATATGAAAGAACTATACCTTGAAGAAACTGAAGAGTTGCAGGATTTTCAGTTTTAAGATTTTATGTTGTAAGATTTTTTTAGTTGGAGATTAAACATATTGTTTCGTGTTAGATGGTTTCATTTAGTTTTTAATTATAATTTAATCGCTGTAGAATTTTTTATCTTAAAAAAGATTAAGTAAAAAATTAGGAAACTCTCCAGTGTCCAGTTGTGTCACCTGTATTGATTTAAATTGTAAAACTCTGTTATTTCTTATGCTGTATAATGGTTATACCATCGTAGGCGAAGCTGCTGGTACAAGTGATAAAATAAAAACACAATATTATTCAATTATAAAAAATGTAAAATTTAAGTAAGTTACACTTAACTCCAATAATCTGACTGACATAGAATCCAGGAAGGTGCCAGACTACCCAAAATGTTGGATTACCCAAAATAATTACTGAAACCAACCTATATCCTAAGTAAAGTAATCTTATGCCATATTTTCTATGCTTTGACTATTAGGTATTCAAATGATTAATTTAAGCATTAATGTATTAAATATCTGTCCGTTGAATACAAAACAAAAACAGAAATTACCAATTATAGTATTGTATAGAACAGACCTTTCTTAGCAAATTACTGATTTAATGCTTTACCAAGTGTGTCTAGCGAGTTGGAATATCGGGTGCCAATCGTACCACATTGCTGTAAAAAAAAATTTTTTTTTACAATTTTCCAGTATTTCTTTAGGTTTTGAAGATATTCTGGAAAACTTTTGCAAGAAGAAAAAGACTACAATTTGAATTGTTTTCACATATTAAATATTTTGAAACAAAAATAAATAGTAGGTGAGTAATGACAAGTTTTAGTACCTTTGTTGTATAATTATGTTTATTTATTTTTTTGTTTGATAAATGGTAGATTCAGTTAAAATTTGGTAAAAATCCATTTCCCTTGGATTTGGTGGTTGCAACTTCGTTTTAATGTATAAAAGATTCATAACTTTTTCCCTTCTCATTTAATTTTTTTTCACCAACCCAACTTTTTTAAGTATGAGCACAAATTCTATGAAACTAATCATCTATTTTGTAACCATTTTTGTCCCGAATACGGATAAATTGTAGTAAAAGTCTGGATAAGAACATGGATTCCAACTCCAAGGTTTTTCAGGTATCTGATTGAAGAAGTTTGGTGTTAGTAAGGGCCAAGAGTTCTTTTTACATAACTTGTAGCCAAAAGCATGAATGGATGAGAACAAATCTGGAAAAATATTCAAAAATAGTAATGTTATAGTATTAGTTTTCTTTTAAACTATGTTTGTTTAAAACTATTCTCAAAATGTAACAGATGGCTACTGGCGATTCAGATCTTTATATTAATAGCCAAATCATTTAGTATCATAACAACAAAATTTAACCAGTGAATGCCTAAGTGAATGCCAATTTTGTTAACTTGTCAATTGATTTTATAACTCACGTCAGATAATAATCAGAGATTCTGGGTAACCGAGGTAGTCTCGGTCCCTACAGCCTCGTTTAACCGGGAGTGTACTACATACTGCATAGGCTAAAATGAATGGACACTGGCACCAAGGAATAACAAGATCATCGCTAAGGATACAAAATTACAGAGGCCTACCAATGCATGGGTAATATACAGGGTGATTGATATAAGTGTGCCAGCTATTTTATTCAAAAACTATAAGAGATATCAAAAAAAGTTAAATGGTAAGTGCCTTGGATTTTTCATTTTAAAAATTGTAGTCAAGTCGAAAAAATATATTTTAGCTGCCATTTTTCCAATATGGCCGCCAACTTAGATTTTTCTTATGGAACACCCTGTATTTTATGATGTATTCCGGTAGAAAATGTAATTTTAAGACGATTTTACACTTGTGTTTGTTTTTATAAATCCAAACGTTTCAAAGATAATAATGGTTAAAGTTGTAAAATTCCGAATAGTTTTAGAATAAAACAGCTGGCATGCTTGCTTAGGCCTTTATCGAAACTCTTTCTCATGCCGAAATTTCAAAACTTTAACCATTATTATCTTTGAAATGTATTTCCGTTCATTATGTCTGATAAACCAAAATTTCTACAACATACAGGATGTCTCACTTAAAGTGAACCAATAGCTAACTTTTTTTATTATGAGATATAGAGTTGACTACTTATATGACACCTCTGTTTAATTTTTAAGATGGTTTCAAATTTAAAATATATATCCGTCATTTTTTAATATGGCCGACAACTTTGTTATTTCTTATAGAACACCCTGTAATTTATGATTGTTTTAAAAAGGAAATACAATTTAACAACGTTTTTAATCTTAAAATTCTTTCTCTAAAGCTACTTTTTTCGGAGTTACAGCGTGTTACACCTAAGAAAAAAAGGCTTGTGGTGTACGTTCTGCATCCTGTAGTTCCTAAACGAGTAAGTTTAGAGACCAAATGCGGAGAATAAATATGTCTTAAATTTTATATTCAGTAACAATCATAAAATACAGGTTGTTTCATAAGAAATAAAACAAGATGTCAACCATATTCGAAAAATAGCAGACATATTTTTTTAATTTAAAACCATTCCGAGAAACATTTTAAAAAATAAAGGGGGTGTCCTATACGCTTTCCCATATAACTAACTCTATATCTCACAATAAACAAGTTAGCTTTTGGTTCTCAAATAACAAAAATGTTATCAAAGCATCCAGTGTCTGAGTTAATAATTATCATACTATACACTAATGCTACCTCATCGTAACATTCACTTTGTATACCGGTACATTTAAAAGCACGATTCCATTTAATTTCAGCCATATTGAAGGCTGCAGGTTCTTAAAAACAAAATTTAAATTTGTATAAACTGAAAACATAATTCTCAAAACAGTGACTTATTGTTTAAAATATTTGTCATCAACATAATAGTGAAACCATAGACTAGGGCACAAAAGATGATGAACCAAAATTATATTTTAGACAACATAATTACACTTCCTACTTATTTACAACTATTTATTCTTAGATTAAAAACTAATCTTTAGAGAAATAGGTGCATGTCTAATGAAAACAACTCTTGTCTCATTTGGCTACCTAATAAACTTTATAGTTATCACAAAACAAATAAAAAATATTGTGAGAGTAAAGAAGTAATCACCTCCTCCCCCACGAGTCACTTGTTGCATCGCAGACAGATTTTCATCATCGATGACTGCAAACTGAGTCACCGAGGTGTCCTTATTGTTCTTAGACGCACTGCGCTGCGCAGTAGGTGGAGGGGGAGCTCGCCGATATCTCTGGTTGCCTCGGACACCAGGCTCCGTTCCTGTAAACATACATGTGTCTGTGTTAGTGAATACCCCTCTGCCTCAAACTTGTGTGTTGTTACAATAAAACTTTAGCTTGAGTTGGTTATTGAGATATGCAAGAAACCTCTCAACTATCACTTAGGATAAGTTGCATAAACACAATCTCAGTGTAGCATTTACAAAAACCTGAACCTATGTCGTACAAACAAGAGTTGGTTTACTGTAAAACACAAGACCTCTCCCAAAAAGTTAGATTTTACTAATTCTCTATCTTTAACCTAACTAGGTTTGCAAATCCATAAATTAAAATTCGGCTGGGGTAATAGAAGACTCTTAAATACAGCTTAATTAAGTATCCCAACAACTAGTGTTCCTGTTCCTGCACAATTTAAATGTTCAAAAATAAACAATAAACTCTCAAACCAACTCAAGAACTAAATATATCAATCTCTTCGTCTAAAAACCTCCTTATCTGTTTAGCCAAAACTTCCCCAGTATAATTTATCAACTACATAGTAAGTGATAGTCAAAACTAAACATTTGGAAACTTGCAACCATAAACCAATTAAAATTTCAATTTTGAATCTCAAAATACATCATATAACACAACCTAATTTTATGATGTTAATTATAAGAACATAATTTTTAATACACAAACTGATATATTTAACTCCTTTCTGAAGTTTTGATTCTCAAAACTCACAGATCAAATCTCAAAACCATAATTTCCAAATTGTTGGTTGTTTTGAGATGTGAGATTTGGTTTTGACTAGTGATGGGCAAATCCAAGAAAATGTCGGTACCGGATCTAGATTTAAAAAAATTTGGATCCGGATCCAGATACACAATGTCATAAGGGTGGGTTAAAAAAGAACTTAATATTAACAGAATGCCAATTTAAATTATACTGTTTAAAATTAAATTGGTAATGTTTAAAGGTTAATATATCTTATATATAGAATAATCTCTAGTTGAGCCCAAAATCCCTCATTTTTGGGGGACACTAAAAATTTTCAAAATCATAAAATGAAACATTGTGCTAAGTTTGCATGACCACCAAAAGGATATCTGTGTATATTTTACTATCCTTCGATCTTGAGTATGCTATATCGTGGTTTTTGCATGCAGCATCCAATTTGTTTATGCCTGGATCACCTCTTGCTAATCGCTCCCTTAAATTCGTTCCAGGTTCACAGTACTGATAGCCGGGTATGTGAAGTTCTAAAGGTAAAATACCCTACGTCTGTGTACAAGAAGACTTAATGTGTCCTAACTGTGTTCTAACTTATAAAATATTAGATGGAGTGTTTTGACTTTTTATTCACCCTGTATGGATACAGATAATCTTCTTGTACACAGACACAGGGTATTTTGCCTGTAGAACTTAACATACTCGGCTATCATTACTGTGGACCTGGAACAAATTTAAGGAAGAGATTAGCAAGAGGTGATCCAGGCATAAATAAATTGGATGCTGCATGCAAAAACCACGATATAGCATACTCAAGATCGAAGGATAGTAAAATTAGATCAGTGGCTGACAGCTTATTAGCTTGGGAAAGGGTAAAAGCTTCAGACTCTAGTATTGGTGAGTTAGATGCTGCCTGGGCAGTTACTAACATAATGAAAACTAAAGCAAAATTTGGTTGGGAAAAAGGGCAGACTTCAAAAGTTAAAAAACAAATAAAAAAGAAAAAAAACCTGTTGGGAAAAAGAATAAAATCCTAAATGTGCCTGCAAGAGGAAAAATAAAAGTGGTAAGCGGCTCTATTTGAGACCGTATACCGGATCTGGTAGTAAAAGTATAACAAATGTACTCATAGGAAATAATTGAAAGACTCAGAAAAGCCATTAAGTAGTTTGGATATAATAAAACTTGCTGCTGATTTAAAGTTGCCTTATTTTAGAGGAGTCTTTTTGTACATGGACACAGATTGTATTCTTGTACACAGACACAGATAGTATTGTACATGGATACAGACGGCTTTTTGTTAGTAAAAAAAATCTGAAAAATCGGATCCATCAAAACCGGATCCAGCCCAAGATCCGGATTTCTTTGGATACGATTGGGCACCGGTTCTAGCTCGGATCAGGCAGATCCGGTAGTCCGATATCCGGATCCGACCATCACTAGTTTATCTCAACTACCTAGGACTTTAAGATGAGTTAGATATTTTCCTTTGTTCCCCTCATTTTATCAAAATGTCTTCTTAAGTCGAGTACTTCTCATTCATAAATGAATAGAAACAAAATTATTGACCATTACTGTCTTAATGAAATGTATAATTAAATTTACAAGTTCAACAAGGCCAATATATAATAGATTATTCAAAAGATTTATTGTTTTCCAATATCCTTTACAACATCTGTTTTAACTTTGTTTAAAATTAATTTATTATTAAGTAAATATTTACTTTTTGTACAAGTGTAATTGTGCCTGAAGATGGAAACCTAGTTTCTGAAAGCGCTATTAATATTATATATTGGCCTTGTTGAACTTATAAATTTAATTATACATTTCATTATTTATTGCCAAAATCTCCAATATAAGTTATCATTACCGTCTTATTTCATTACTCGCATCTGATTGTCAGTGGAAAGTATGTTTGTTTTACCTTGTCTGTAAGTGTCAAAAGAGTAGACACTGCCATCTTGATCAGTGATGGTGTCCCGAATGCGAGGAGACTCGCCTCCAACTTCCGAGTCATTGTTGAGTGACACAGTTCCTGACATGAGCCTCGCACGGTTGCGGTCTTGAGGAGCTGTGGCAACTCTCAGTCTTGACAAGGCTGCGTCTGCTGTAACCGTTACCATCAACGTAACCACGGACCACAAGTCAAATCAAAAAATCAAATCAAATCAAAAAATCCTTTATTCAAACAGTACATTTCTATACATGAATTGTGTCAAGTCAAGAATAAACATAACTATACATTTGGCAAATTTACTACACTAATTAATTAAGAGCTATAATCTATATGTATACACTTTCTCCCCTACAACTACTTACTGTTCAACCATTACAACTAACTATTGATTTTACATACTAATATCTAATTGAAAAAGTCCCCAATCTTGTAGCAGCATTTATCTGACAACAATTTGAACAAACTGGTTTTAAATCTTTTAAAATCTGTCAAACCCTTTATGGTGCTAGGCAGGCTATTATACAATTTTATGCCAGAGTAATATGGAGAATGTTCAATGGTGGAGGTGTTATGTCTAGGGTATGTAAGGCTATTCTTTTGTCTTGTGTTATAGTTGTGAAAATCAGAGTTATTTGGAAAATTTGATAAATTTTGTCTTATATACAAAATTAAATTATATATGTATATACTAGGAAAAGTAAGAATTTTGTGATTTTTAAAAATACTCTTACAGGATTTTTTTCCTTCAAGTCCAAAAATAATACGGATAATTCTCTTCTGCATTTTAAAAACTTTTTTTCTCCTATCTGAATTTCCCCAGAAGATCACACCATAATTAAACAAGTGATAGACATAACCGTAATAAACCATCATGAGAGTGGATATGTCAACAGATTTAGATAAAATAATGAACATAAAATGAGCTTTATTTAATTTTTTTACAACTTCACCAATATGATTTTGCCAAGTCAATTTTTGATCCACTGTGATGCCTAAGAATTTAACTGAGCTTACTGAATTTAGAGAAAGATTCAAATCTAATTTTGTTAATGAGTCTGATTTCTGGTAGTTTTTTTGGAATTCCATCAGAAGAGATTTATCTTTATTTAACGCCAAACCATTTGCTTCAAACCATTTTTCTAGCTGAAGGAAATCTTGTTCAGCTGTTTGCTGCATGAAAATTTTACTATGATCAGTGAAAATAATGGAAATGTCATCAGCAAACATTACTGATTTTGACTTAAAATTGAATTGAAGTAAAAAATAAATTCATGATGTTGGTTGATAGTACATGTTTAAATTTGCTAACCTTAACCCTCCGAGTGTCCCTAGTTTTGGCCTTAATGTCTGCCTATTTTTTGCGCATTTGCAAGGTTTTATTAAAACGGATCTGAGAAGCTTAAAAACAATGTTAATTATACTGTTCTATATACCATTTTGTTTGGAAAATCATGGCCTTCAATATTATACATAAAACATAAGGAACATTTGTTTCAAAAAAAATTTTTGGGTAAACAAAAAAATATATTTTGGAAAAATTTTCAAAAGAAAAATAAGTTCGCGCTCAATGAAATTGTATAAATTATAGGCCTATAAATATTTGAAAATAGCCACTTTGTTCTAAATTTTATGAGGATTACAAATATATAATAATATAAGGAAGTAGATTTGCAAATAAATAAGTTATGGGCAAAAAACAGATTTCAGTACAAAGCGTTTAGCTAAGAATGCATAGCCTAACCATAGCTAGGAATCTGGCTGATAATTTACATCAATATCACTACCTACTTCTTCAGGATCATCAACCAGCCCTTCAAAATCACTTAAATCTTCTTATAATGCATCACGTATATCACTACTTTTGATTTTTAACACTAAAACAATGATAAACGTAATAAAACACATCAGTCATCGGTACGAGGTTAACCAAGCTGTTTACAAATACGCACGTCAGCTGTCTGCTACAATTATGATCGGCTCGAGAAAAAAAAGCGCTTAGAGACAGACCTCCGGAGAAAGCTTAGAATCTGCCAAATAAAACGATACCTAACTCGATCCAGTTCAATCCGATTTTGTCAGTCATAGAGCCTTCGCCGTAAACAGTGTTTGTGAGTCGAAATTTTGACACAAAACACTACACAAAGTGTGTTATGTGTCGGAGCTTCAACAAATAACACTCGAAGGGTTAAGGATTATACAACCCTTACTCTGGATGATATAGTACTGCAAGATTGTTTTCTATTTTATTGAAATATAATAATAAGATAGGTCTACTCTTGGATATATTTACACTGTAAATATTTACAAGACTGTAAACATATAAGTTATATAAAATATGTTACAAGCAATCAATTTTCACCTGTCACACCGATCATCATCGGCCAATCAGAGACTCTTTGGTCGCATAACCATACTCCATTCCATATTTACTGTGCAGTATGGAGTATCCATAAGCCATCTGTAGAACATGGCTAGTTCATATAAGTTGGAATCTTCTTTAATTGAGAATTTCCTCTGGTTCCTAGCATTTCATATGCAACCAATGATAGAAAATCATGGTTAATTCAATAATTCAAATCATATTTTGGATAGTTCATAGAGTTATATTTTGGTATGTTTTTGGAAGTTTATAAAACTGGTTGCGCAAGTTTCTACTAAAAAAAAGCTGTTCGAAAGTCTAACTATCAGGAATTCCCGAAAACATGTTGTATACAGATTTTGTAAAAAATAAAATATATCCAGCCATTAATGTGGACTTGCAAAGCTCGTTGCACTCTCTCCTCTCTCCAGTCTAATTGACTGTTTCCTTTGTGATTCTTGTCGTCATGTCAGTAGTCGATGCTTTCAAATCATTGCTCAACCCCATCCACCCTTCTATCTAACACAACTCATCACGCAAGTATGGCCAACTTCTGGATAATTTTTGCAATCTAAATTTCCTTACTAGACACAACAACTTGAAAAAGGAACAAACTATGAACTATTATATTCAAAATCTTAAATTTCCTGGCCCCATAAAAAATTAACGTTGGTCTACAATGTCCTCTTTTTCCCAATTTACAGGTTGACTGAACCCCCTGAGCTCTTAGTCTAGATCACTCTGAAAAACCTTTTCTATCTGCTTCCCTAATAGTTATCTATATAGGTTTTCTACCCTTTCTGACACAAAGATTTGGTACAGCTGTTTCAATTAACAGGACTGACCTGACTTACGCTGGTTCTGGTTGCTGGTGTGTCTGCGACGGTCCGACTGGCTACGCGCTGACATCATGACAGCATCGCCTTCACAATCCACTCCGTCTCTTTCATCTTTCTCTTTGTCTGACTGTTGACCTGCTGCTGGAGTTCCAGGCATAGACACCGCACGTCGCTGTTTTTTGGGTGAACCTGTACATATTACCATTACTGGTTAAGATGCTGTGCATATTCAACCCATATATGAATGTAGATGAGTGTAGAATGCCTTATGTAGCTTTCTTACTGACTAAGATCAGCGGTTTTTCAGCCGGACCATTTATCCCATTGACCAAGGACAGTTGGGACCTGCTTTGAACCACCGAAGTTCTACTGACATTTTACAGGATCGAACTGGCAACCTTTTGATTACCTTTTGATTTTTGATTAGGTGAGCACTATAACCAATCAGCTGCCCAGCTATTTAATACTGACCATTAGTAGCACTGTCGAACATTATTGAATGTAACAGTATTCAAGTTTGCTGAGGTGTATTGCAGGATATAATTAAAACAATTGTAGATTTTTATTTTATAAACTGAGTTTCTAATCTCATCCAGGTACTACTTGTTTTTAGTAAGTAGGCTTACAATATTAAAAGTAGGGACAATCATCGCACAAAGTAGCATTCAACAACAACTGGCTTAGTTATGAAACATGTAAACAGTTGAACTAGCTTTTTACCATATCTATAATCTATTCTATCCCAGAACTTTATAAATACAGTGTTGGCTTTTAGCCTCAAAGAGTGATTTCAACAGAATTTCTGTAGAAACAATATTCATTAGGCAAGTAAGACATGAAGGACAAAAACACCATTTAACACGTTCACTGCGGTTGGGTCAGTACGGCGATCACAACCCTCAAGCGGCCGGGTCAGTACTGACCCAAAACCCACACTGAAGTGCATCAATCTTTTTCTGAAGTGCGAGCCTAGCATCGGTCGAAGGCGGACCTATATCTCGTTAGCGTGTAGTCTGTGACATGTTTTTTGTTGTGGTGTAGGTTGGTAGTAAATTTTCCCGTAAAATCCCCGTCTGGCAGGCTTAGAAATCAACTTATTGTCCTGTCTTTCTCCCTCCAATTTACGTTCCATCTGTGGGTGTTTTAGCAAACTACGTAGACTCTCGTCGTAACGCAGTACACCACCACACATTATTTGCTATTCGCCAGACTGAAATTGAAAGCCAATCACCCGGCAATCGGGCTCGTTCGACGCTGTGCTGCACCGCCATTGATGGGTCGCAACGAATGTGTTAAAATGGATCAATACATCAAAATCTCTCGATCTACATTCAGCCACGAGTAATTGACATTGTCAATTAACATACATAACATATCGTCTTATTATTAATAAACAAGCAAAAATTTAACAAAAAGATGGATTAAATTTACAAAAGTGTACAAATCAGTAACCCTAATCTTTTTTCATTTAAAAACTTCAGAATTTATCAACAGAGAAAAATAATTTATTTCAGCCATGAATCTAGGACAGTTTTGGGTTTTTCATAGAAATTGTTACTGCAGAGGGGATAAAATTTATATACTACGATTATTTGCCATAGTGTATAGGAGTAAATCGCTAGTTGAGATGACAGCTTTTTCTTGTGTAATGAACATGTATGTTTGATCGTTGATTCTTAGAATGTACCTGAATTAGTGATGGGCGATACGGACACGTATCGCGATACAGCGATACGATACGTATCGGAAAAAAATATCGTATCGCCATATTGAATCGGGCGTCTGTATCGCGATCGTATCGTCAAAAATATCGAAAAACGATACGTATCGTATCGTTTCCCCCCTCCCCTACCTAACCTAGAAACGAAAAATGTATATAAGTACCTGGGGACCAAGCTTTGCTCAGGGAAAATCATTGGTTTACTCTGAAAACAGTCTTAGTATTGCAGATACATTAATCCATTTCCATACTCCACACTGCTCGCCTTTACTACTTCCTCCACAACCCCCTACGTCTTGGACCTGTTTCCCTATCCTTCCCATAGCATTTTAGGATTGCAGATACATTAATGTAATTGCCACAGACAGTCCCACACTCTGCACTGCTAGTGCTAGATAGAACGCTGCTAGTGGAAATGGACTGGACTGGGATGGGACTGGTACATTATCAAGTAAAAACCAAAAATACAGACGTCAAAAACTCCTATTTCAAACTACACATCCACAGAGTACAGATTTTGCAGTTTGCTCGGCCTGCGCAAAAAAGATTAAAAATATCGTTTTGACATGAATCGTATCGCTCTATGTGCCGATATAAATACAAATATCGTTTTAGGCGATACGATACGTATTGTTTTTCAAATATCGTATCGAAATATCGTATCGTCCCTCGCGTATCGCGATATTCCGATACGATACGATACGTATCGCACATCACTAACCTGAATACTGATCAATATTCTCTTTGATATGTAATAGGCTATTTAAAATATATAAACATGGAAGGGTTCAAATATTTAAACCTTTGCTGCTAGAATTATTTTAGTAACATTCTCACCCAAAACTGGTGTGGTGACATCCTGCTGGGTAGTTGCATTGCAGTTTCTGTCAATTGTGATGCCTTGTTTGTCAGCATTAGTTGTAGTCACTTGAGTAGTGTCCACTTCAAGCTTTCTAGTTCTTCGACAAACTGCGTCAAACTCAGCCTATAAATAGAATTAACTTTGTTATATTAATATTTAATGTAGTTCCCAAGTAGTAGTCAATGACCATTATAGTTTAAATCCTGTATAGATGATACAACTTCAATTGTATTATTAGTTTTTAAATCCTTTGAATCTTTTAATTAGTCAGAGGCAAGGTTAGAAGAAGAAATTGCGTTGATTTCATTGCATACTGTTCTAACGGTTGCCATTTCCAAATTCTTCATTTCATTAAAAACAATTCAAGTATACGGTTCAATAGGTTTGCTTTGTTGGTTTTGTTTTTATGAAATTTTGAAAATATTACTGCAAAATCGCCAAAAATACCTTGCCACTACAGAGTTCGCCCATTGCCAGTTGGAGGGTTAACAATACCTCGTTATCCTTCCGGTTGTCAGGCTGGATGTTCTGGTTATTGTTGCGAGGTGAGAGAGGGGCTGGGGTAGTCATGGTTGTGATGGCAGGAGCTATGGTTTGGATCTGTGGTTTCTCCCAATCATACGGATCTGATTCTCGTACCCCACGCCTCTTCATGCATCTTTCCAGCAGTAGACTCAACATTGCATAGTCCGGTTTATCAGCATACTCCAAACTCTAAACAACCAAAACAATTGCAACTTTGTTACTACCATCCACCAATGAATATGTCACACAAAGTAAAAGATATACAATCCTGATACAATAAAACCCAGACAGTAAACTTAGTATAGATAGTGGATGTAATATAGTAATATGCCAATAACATACAGAATTGAATTATGTTTTAAAATGTCTACAGCAGTGTGGACAAATTTTATTCAGTTTTTAAAACCGCCAGTCCCTTTAGCAATTAATACTAAACATTTTTTCTGTTATTTCTATTAAACCCAAATATCATATACTTATACATCACCTATGGATAATTTTTGATGAGTAAACCAAACACATTTAAATCTACTATACGTATATTCCAAATTTCGATTTCAATTGAATTTAACAGAAGGAAAGCTAAAACTCTTAAAATGATAACTTGAACCTAATAAAATGTGCTTTTGCGAATGATCTGGTTTCAGATTCAATCTGTGGTTGGTTTTATTTTCAGGGTTGAATATTGATTTAGTATAAGGGTGTGAACTTTGATTCAGTGGTGGTAAAAAAAAAAAACGATTCAATTCATGGGGGGATCAGTATCCATATACGAAAAACGCCTGCAGAAAGTCAATGCAATACCCACAATAGAGGAGCGTGTTGTTGTTGCATTTCCTTTACGAAGGTGTTCTTTTAATTCTTTGCATGTAAATATTGCTATATAATTGTTTTATAATCTTTTGTTTTGACATTGCAAATGATGAGAAGTTTTGTAAAGTGAAGGACTGTGAGACATTTTTTACTACTGTAACACATAATTCCCATGTTATTCTTAAGGAGAAGAAATAAACTGATGTAGTTTACTTGTTTATGGATATATATTTAGTATAACCATATTTGGAAATTTTGTTTGTTTCATACTAAGCTATTAACATTCAATAAAAAACACACCTCAATATCTTCCCTGTAGCAGCAAACCTAAATACTCACTAAAATAAATGTTATTTAGATAAGAAATAAATCTGACAATTTTTAGGAAATATTGTAGTACAAATCCAGCCAGGTAAATGGAAAATCTTAGTCTGCAGATTTGCTGCGGCGGGGGTAATTGTTTACACCAAAACATATCTGTATTTGTAAATCAATATTATAAAATAGGTAACATGCTTGTCAATATGATTCAGCAAGTAAAAATTAAATAGGCAAGTAAAGCAGCTCACTGACATTTTCAGCAATACAGGTTCTTCTAATATGATAGAAAATAAATATTTTTTCACCTAAAATAGATATTGTCACATGTATGAATATGCCTAACCACACCAACAAACATTTGCAGTACACAAATGTGGTAAATTTTAATTATTATTATTTGACTCCATTGACAAGTACGAATAGAAAAATGCCATATTGAAATGAAATGAAATGAAAAATGTCTTTATTTAAGAGGCGAAGTTAGGACTAGCAAGTCCTCTCTACCACTTAACCTCTAAAACATAAATAAACTATCCACTTTATAAATAAAATTAAATAATCTAAGGTACCATATTATAAAAATGTTGAAATTAAATTTAAACCCAAAAAGTCCATTCACACAAGCCGCCAACAACCCGCCACACCAGCGCCAGAGACTCATTCATGCCTGCTACTCAAAATCATAGATTTTATCTCTGCCCCAAACCTTGCACGGTTTTCTATGGATTTTATATGGTCAGGAAGAAAATTCCACATTCGAATTGCAGATACTAAGAAAGATTTATTAAAAACTGTTGACCGGTGAATTGGTGTAGATAAAAGAAGAGAGCCTCTACGAGTGGAACGGGTACTGATGTCAGAAATGAAATGGAAGTTATCTGATAAATACTTAGGAATTTTACTGTTGATAATGGAGTGTAGGAGACGGAGGGTGTGAAATTCCCGAAGTTCATTTAGCCTCATTAATGAAAGCAGGTTGAAATATGGAGTCACATGGTCATATCGTCTAAGGCCAAATATGAATCTGATACAGGAATTCTGCGCTCGCTGAAGTCTGCTAGAAACCTCATTAGTCATGTCATATTGCTTCTAATCAAAAATCTTTTAAATATAATTTTTTTGCTGCTTCGCACACTCCTATTCAAATAAATTGATTATTATGAATAATAGCGTTTTAAAACCCTCTAAACTCTCTATCTAATACAAATGGACCAGTCTCAGTACAGTAGAACCTCGGTTAACCGAGGTAATTGGGACCGAGGGTACCTCGGATACGGCGAACCTCGGATAACACGGAACGTAACCTAAAAATCGTTACCAGGGCTAAAAATAGCTCAAGATATACTAAAACATGAACAAAAGTTATTAACTGAACTGTTTTTTAGTTTATTAGTACAAGAAATTAGAAGTTTATTAGTAGAAGAAAGGGTGTTATTAGTACGCAATAAAACGTGAGAGGAAACGGTAACACTCACAATACTAAACACTGTTTTAATATAACACTCAATTTATTGCACAACTGAATACGTATGATATAGGCTACACAATGTACAGAAGTTTAGTTACAGTACAGTATTCCTGTTTACAAAATTAAATCAAAGAAATGAAAATTAATTTACTGTACATTGTACAAAAATAAACAAAGTAAGCTAACCTTTTTTCCCAAAGAAATCAGTTATTGTTTTTTGACTTAGATTAGAGGATCTTAGGCTAGCCGCCCTGTTGCGCCAGCGTCGCAGCCAAACTAAATCGTTTGTTGTTGCGGTTTCTTATTGTTCAATGTATGCCAGTCACTGAGCTAAAATTATAACTGGAGGTAGCACTGCCATTGCAGAAGTCTGTCAAAAGCGTGTCGCTGATTTTGTTAGGTTGGTATAGCAGCAGGTTTTTTCATCCAATAACATGGCTTCTATAACTAGGTTTGCATAGCAGTGAGTTTTTTCATCCAATAACATGGCTTCATTTTAACTCACACCTCACGCAAACATGGCGGCTGGCGACACGCATCTTTGACATTCAGTGCTACCTCCAGTTAGAATTATAGCTCAGTGATGCCAGTGCTCCCTCGATCATTCTTAGACCTTCTGTATGTGATATTTTCTCAGTCGCCCCATCAGATTCATCGCTGTAAAAAAAACTTTTGTCGAATCGGGGTGGTGGGGAGAGCGAGTGGCTCAGTCGCGTCTCGGCATTGAAACAGTTCGCATTGGTCCGGCGGCGAGCGGTGTCGGGTTACAAGACCTGCAGCTGCTCTGGCGAGCGGTGTCGGGTGACAGTGCCGTATGCATTCGGCAAAGATAAGCGCTAAGCTACGCAAATATTTGGCCGAGGAAACACGACAGTTGCCAACATTTTACTGTACAGTAGTTTTAACGCATTGCAGGCTAGCGTGCGTATTGCGATAAAAGGAGCACCCAAACGCTCATTACTGTACGTAGTTTGTGCGTGTTTCTTTTGCTTTTTAAATAAAAAAAAATCGTTCGAGGACGGCCTCGGTTAACCCGGAGTCTCGGTTAAGCGAGGCTCGGTTAACCGAGGTTCTACTGTACTTCAATTAGACTTTTGGTTAGACCAGTGTAAAACACCAATGTTACTTTGAAACCAATAATTGCTCGTTTCACTGGACATTTAAATTGAACCAGCTGAAAAACTGATATATACGTAGCAGTCAAACATAAATTAACTTAATTAAATATAGTAAGCATAACTTACCTGTATATGCTCCAGAAATAACCTAAGGTCAGAAGGAAGGTGTTTTAAAAGCGCCCGGTGGTCGTACTTCTCCTTCATTAAGCCGACTTGCTCCTTATCCTTAATTTTGCGCCAGGGTAACTGGCCATTAACAAACTCGACTACCATGTAGAACAAAGACCAAAGGTCATCATGACGGCCCATTTCCTAAAATAACAATATGATAAATTAATATTTAATTAGAAAAAAACTTGTTACTCTGAGTACTTAATGAAAACCTTACATTATGAAAACGAACAGAGTATGTGGTATTTGTAAAAATGAATGAGAAACCTTCATTTTCTACACAAACTTACTGAAAAACATTAAAGAAACGCTGGAAGTGTCTCTACAGACATCACAACATATTTAAATCTTAAAATAGCATCCAAGAGACTCATATAAACTTATGACAAAACATTTGCTTTACCAGGTTACGACTTAGGTGCTGGTATGCCCAAAGTAAATTTTATGCAACAAGTCATAATAATATACTGAAATAATACAAGTTTGTAAGGGAAACATTTAATGAAAGTCAATATTCTGTATTTTTTTTTATTTAATAAAAAAAACTTATAACATGTGAGTTATTTACATACTTAGATTTACATTGACTCAACCTAAATTGCTCCTCATATTATTAACTTGTAAAACATGAGTTTGATTTATTCAAGTGTATTTTATAACCGAAATATAATCAGTGCTACCACCCACCTTGTTTTTGTGAGCATTGATGGAAGCATATCGCACCGTGCCTCTGAATCCCGCAGCGGCACGGGGAGCCCTCACATCCCCTGTGGCGGTGGTATATTGCCGAGCCAAGCCAAAGTCTAACATGTAGACTTTCCGACAATTGGAAGGTAGTCTTCCAATAGAAAAGTTGGACTGCAACATGAAAATCATTCATTAGTCACAAGCAAGGTTTTTGCAAAACATAAATATGGGAGCCTAAATTAAAAAAATACAACTTATAAACTTTTACTCTACAAATACACATTGATCTCGTAAGTAAACAAGCCCTTCGGAATGAAACAACAGGGTTTCCAATCAACTTGGAAATGAAATTCACGGTTTACTCAAGGTTTTCCACAGTTCATAATATAGCCTGTGTTGTTTTTTACTTTAACAGGGGTTGGGGGTTTAGTTCCACATGACTGAATCTTATAACTTAGTTCTAGGATTATTTTAAACAGAAACTGTGCGATATCCAAGACACGGAAGAAAGAGTCTACAAAGTTTGCAATTGAACATTCACAATGTAGCCACAATCACAGGAGTTGGATTTGATTGATTGATTCTGAAGGGGCGGACCTTGTCCTGTTGCACGTCAGCCACTGATGGGCTTTTTGCGCTCCCCACTTGGTACGTCTGAGTTGCTTAATGAACTTCAGCATCCTATCTATGAGCTCCTCCTGAGGAAGGTGTCTACCCCTTGTCATTGCTCCAAGAGTATCCCTTACCTCGTTCAGAGCTGTCCGGTCATAGAGTAGTTGGTCTGCAGTCTCCTCTGACTGCCCACATTTCCTACATGCAGTGTCTCCATTGTGGATCCTAATTATAACCACAGAGACAAGCAGCCAGTGCATAAGCCCCAGCTTGAGCCCCCAGGTTCCTCCCACCATTCGCCTCCATGCCATAAGTGACCACTTACCTTAATCAATGACCTTTTGGAGTTGCAGCTTTCGGTCCAATACCACAACCAGGTACTTTACCTGATTCTGCATTTCAAACACTGTGCTTTGTAGTCTCAGAGGTCCGATTCCATTTAGATCCTGCCTCCTGGTGAAGGGGATCATCGCCACATTGGAGAGGTTGATTACATGAGATAATCATTAAGTAATCATAACGATCACGGGCGATGACCACAACAACACCGTAATTGTGTAGGATATTTTCAAGAGGTTAAACTGAATATCGTAGCTGATCATTATTTCACCGCAGTTTGGATAAAATTCAAAGCTCCACAAAGTAACAAGAGGCAACTATTTCTCAATTTGGCTTTGAAAGATTCTGTGAATTGAGAATCAGAATCAGCTCATTCATCTTCTTAAGATTCTAAAATTCTTGATTCTAAAATTCATGGCTTAACCCAGGTTTTTTGCAGCTAACAATATTCATGGCCCATTTACGGTTTCATAGTTTTTTGTAATTGTAGGCCTTTTTGGCCTAGTAATTGTATTTTTGTACTTACCTGGCTAATGCAAACTGTATTATTGTTACTTTGGCCCAATAAAATGATTTTATTTTATTTGATAGTTTTCAGGGTTGAGTGCGTACCCTGAACTGACCATGGCTGTACAGTAAAAAAGAGATTTTTAGTCCCGCTCATTGACCGTACAAAGTCCTTACAATGATCCAACATGTATGCATTAAATATTATCACATGGAACTATTACTCACTATGTCCATCATCAGAATTACTTTACGAATACATAACTACTAAATACCTCTAATTTCATGATTCTACATTGCAACATAGTCTTTGTTAAGTTAAAGTAATGAATACATAAGTGATACTGACCGGCTTTATATCTCTGTGAAGAAATCCAACTTGATGGATGCTGTCAATGGCTTTGAGAATTTGGTGAGCAAGACGTAAGGTAGTGGAGAGGGAAAATGCACCTCGTGGTTGTGCACGCCTCAGTTCAGCAAGATTTTTGCCTTGCAGTTGCATCACAACATAGTTGAATCGATCATTTCTCCCGCATCCAATAAAACGACACACATGCTCCTTGCCTGTAACACAAGATAAGTGATTTGTAAAATACCATCATACATTTATCCAACTACACTAGCCAAAAAAACCTTGCATAGGGCCTAAATATTTTAATGACAAGAACAATCGCTTGCACTTATTGGAACTGTAAATCCTCTCAAGATAATACAATCAAAAGAGATAAAGAGTTCAAAAACTCAACCAAAACCAATTAAAATAATGAAGGCTTTAATGAGTTCCTCACTTCCATTAAAAACAGTTGTATGTTTTGTTTTTACCATATCACAACTATTTTAAATTGAAAACTCGTGTTTTTTTCGTGGTATTAGCCTAATTGACGAAATTGGTAACATATTTGTTTACATACAGGACATGCAACATGACGCTATCAGCAAAAGAAAGAACAAAGAAATGTCTGTGAACTTGATTACATTAGGATTCAAGTTAATGCTGAAATACCAACACCACTCAGTAAAAATTCAGTTACTACCCTAAACTAGACAGGGTCGGTGCAAGGTGTTTTCTCTGAAGATGCAAGAGTCATTTTTGGCGCCCTTCAATATATAACCCACCCCTAGATATACAACTCCTTATTTGAATAAAACATTAATCAACTAACTCCTTATTTGAATAAAAAGTTAATCTACTCCTTATTTGAATAAAAAGTTAAAATCATTTTCATATGTAGGCCTACTACATTAAATAAATAAATTTAATTAAATACAATTAAACTATAACATTTAATAAAAATTTGCCTATAAAAAAGTAAAAGAAATATTTTGTTTACCTATGTATCATTATATTTATTTCCATTTTAAAATTCAATACTAATTCAATACTTTTCAAGACTAATTCCATATTTTTCAAGACTAGATTTTTCAACAATTAGTGATGTGTCAATACTAAAATGTATCGATTCTCGGTTCATGATACCAATTATTAACTAACATTTCTCGGCTGTGTAGACATTATCAGTATTCCTTGATAGCGGCAAAATAGTGTTAATCTCCCGCAGCCATATAGCCATCATCAACGATCACGAAAACGTGATCGTCGTCTTGCGCGACCGTGGCAAAATTATGAACTGCTCTCGCGGTCACGAAAACATGATTGTAGTCTAGCACGATCACGGCAAAACCATGAACATCTTCCGTGGCTGCGTAGACATCAAGATTGTCTCCCACAGTCACAAAAACGTAATTCTAGAGCGATCGCGGCCAAATTCTGTTTATCTCCCACGGCCTTATAGACATCATCATCATCTCCCACAGTCACGAAAACTTGATCATCGTCTAACGCGACATCTCGTTGTCGTTACGACAAAACCATCGACATCTCACGGTCGTGTAGACATCATCATCGTCTAGCGCGATCAAAGCAAAATCATGAAAATCTCCCGCGGCCGTATAGACATCATCATCGCCTCCCGCCATCACGGAAACGTGATCGTCGTCTTGTACGTTCGCGGCCAAATCATGAAAATTCCCGACTTTGATATTAAAATAGACTAAATCACAACTTTTCAAGACCATTTTGAAATGCAATACTAATTCCCGACATTCCAGACTACTAGACACCCTGTATTTAATACGCTACATGCAAACTTTGGTCCCAAAAAGGTTTTTTAAATGTCTTGCCCACACATATTATTATACATTGAAGCTCACGTCTAGGTGTCTAGATGTGCAAACAAACGAGTATCACAGAATTTATGTTTAAATTTAGATTCAGTGCATTTGTAAACAACTGACTAGGTATCTTACCCTGCAATTTCTTTAACACCGCCACCTCCATTTTTAACACTTGCTTTGGTTGCCGAGCACTTTCGACCTTCAGTGCTACCTGCTCTTTTGTAACAAGGTCCAAACCCTCGTAGATCTCTCCGAATCCTCCTCCTCCAATCTTCTTCATCTGGTATTGAACAAACCTTTGTAAATTTGTGTTATATTTATACGAATATCAATCACTTATTTATTAATTTTTCTTTATTCACAGAAAGTTACAATAATTTATTTAATAAATAAGGATGGCTGCATAGGCTAGTTGGAAACTATTAAGCATTTAAAGTTTTTTTTTATCAAAAAGAATTTGATGGCCTCTTTTTAATCTTGACCTTGCCCATCAACAAGAACCTCTATGAGAAGGTGTGAGGCTGCACAGTACTAGGACAAACTATACTGAAATATATGTTCTAGATTTTAAAGTGGCGGCACAGGGACACAAGTTAAAGATATTGCTACCAATTGAGCCAATAACTGAAAAAAATAGTGGTACGAAAGCAGATAATACTACAAATTAAATTGTTTGACTACTTTATAAAGTAAAATGATAAGTTAATAAATTAATTTGAGGCATTAGAAAAATGTGTTTTCTCCTATGGAATTTATATCTTTTCATATATTGCAATACATTTACTAAAACTAAATATTCAATGGATATACCACTGTCACCATAGACTGAGTGAATTTTTTTTTTCGTGGTTGAATTTTTATTTGAAAATTTTCATGAATAAGAGGTTATTGTTAGTTAGGATTGTAGGCTTATCTGAATAGTAAAGATTTCATTTTGGCACAAGAAATATCAACAAATTTATACAACACATTATACAAATATTAAGTACTGGTATATATGAGATACAATAAACTGATAAAGTAAAATGTGTACATGTTGGCAACATTGCTGCCAACAACTTCCTAGCCACCATTGGACCTGATGACATCACTCAGCTCAACTCAATCTCTACTTGGTTGAAAACAGTGCCTGTGACAGCGAATATTTCATTTTTTGTTGTAAAATGTAGAATTGTTTGTGTTACTTGTGCCAGAGAGAACTATTTAGGTAAGCCTGCTATCCTAATAATAATCTTTATAACACAGGCAGTAAAACTTGTTGGCCTATGTTGCATTCCTAACCTCATAAATAAAATAGTTTAGTTTGATATAGAATGATTTATTCTTCATTAAAACAACAATAGGATGGATGAGTGAGCACACTCTATAGTAATTACAATAAAAAATAATGAGTGAAACAAATTATTTAAGAACACTACAACAAGGAAAGATATAGAACCTAATATTTGTGACAAAGGACCGTAAAATCACTGCCAGTGTGAGTTTATCTTGTTTTTATTAATGTTTTGAGAGTGTATACAGCAGTGCCATTTTTTACAGTTCTATTGGGAAACGATCCTTACATTATCTCTTCCTAATAATAACTTGAATTAGAAACATAAGCCTAGAGCTAGGCCTACTTACAACTTTCCATCTTTCCTTCACTACGTGTCCCGGCTGAAGTAGATCCTCACTCGTCATTGTAATATTGTTGTTCTGGTCAGTTGATTCGTCACCTCCTACATGATACCCCAACTCTTCCAATGATGAGTCATCATAGTTCCTGCAATACACCATAAATGTTCACCTTCAGCTTATTAGGCTACTAGGGGCAACCTTAATAAGTAGTCTATATAAATAAGCATGAGAACACTTTTTATTAATATGTTATTTAATACAAATCACAACATGTTTCTCTATAAGTTTTAAGTGTGTTTACCTAATTCTAGTTGTAAACATTAAGTTTTGAATCATTAAAACAGATTTACAAATATATAAATTGCTAACTTAAACAATAATAACTACTTATGTCAAACGGAAAAAAATATTTGATTTGTTTTAACAAAGAAAATTAGATTAATTTGGTGCGAGGATTCACAGCTGATATGCAGGCCTGTAAACTATGATATTTAGCTTAGCAACATAACTCATTAGGTCAAAGTTAAAATCACCACGGACTTCATATTTTTGCTTCTTTCTAGTTAATCATCATTGGGTTATTAGCCTACAATTTTTGTATGCTTTACTTTACAGTATTCTTCCTCTGATTTTAACTGACTAAGTTGAGACAAAAATGCTAATCCTTGTAGTAAAATAAAGTATATTTGGGTTTAAATAACATTACTTAATTATCAATTTATCCCTAAGTTATAATAAAATTGATCTGATGAGCTTTCTTGATCAGTGACATAGTCAGACAATCATTAAAATTGAAGATAATGAGGTCATAAAGCATTTCCTTATATTGCACTGAAATGATAAGAAATGTAATTTCAGTGAGATAATGATGTTGTAAACTAATCTTAAATCCCTCCCTGTGTACTCTGCTCTATTGTATCATTCTTACTGCTTAGTAAGGGAGCGAGCTGGTCTAGTGGTTAGAGTGCGGGACTCCGGTTCCTGGGGTTCTGGGTTCAAATCCCGCCAAATCACCAATGGATTTTATCTAAGTGATAATGCCGTAACCCCTAGGTCTAGCCTGAAGTAATGTGAAAAACAATTCCGGGCTCGTGTCCTAGGACAAAAAAAAAGAAAAAGTAAAGCTGGACTGAATCCATAGGGCTACTTAGATATATCCTATGTTCAGCCCAACTTGCATAATGGTATGAATGAACAGTAATGTGTCATTGCACTAATCAAAGTGATTTTAGTCAATAAAAACTCCTATTAGCTTTCAATTGAATACAAGAGTGTGAATAAGGAGTAAAGACTGCTTTTTAGATTTATAATTTTACACTTCTAATAGGACTTGGAGACTACAGTTTTGCTCATTGATGATAGTTTTGGAGTAGACCTACCAGTACAATAAATAGGCAATAAATGGTACATTAGGTACTGATGCATGTGGTAAATGTGTATAGGCTATTTATAACATTTATTGTAGGAGAAGATAGAATAATTTAACTAAATAATTTTATGTCATGGTCTATGGCAGGATATGTTCATGAGTCAGACAACTTGTACAAAAAGTTATCGAGTCTGGTCCTCAAGTTCCCTCGGATTATTTTCAAACATTTGCCAACTAGACTGATAAAACATTTTTACCATCAGCAATAATTCCTAATAAGGATCGGTAGGGGGAATTAAGGTCAGTTTTAATTCGTAACTGGGTTTTTATGTGTCTGTTATTTTGACAAAAGCTTACTTTGACACCAGTTTAAAAACTGTACGGACATAACCTTTTAACCAGATATTATTCATTGATTTAATTATGTCAATATTAATCAAGTTTTCTCACATCTTATTAAGTTTTGGCGACAAACACACAGCTGAGATAAGTAAAAAGTAGCAAAATGCCTGATTTTAGGTGCAAATAAAAAAAATATCTACCCATCATTGTAAACTGTACGAGCCGTTTATTTTAGGTGGGCCTCTCCCACCAAAATCTGCTATAGATCGTTAAACTCTTCATGTATCAGACCTACAAATTAAGAAGGGACGGGGATACATTTTCACAGCAGGCTTATTTTGTTTCTGCCAGCGGAGGGTCATACTGCCGATTACGTCGGATTGCAAAGTGTTGGCACCATCGGGAAAAACAAATATAAAATCTAACCAATAGCGATATTCGTTAGTTTTTTCGGCTAACTTCTAAGATGTTCGTTAGTATTTAAAAAACACTGTATATAACTTCTACTCCGTTTAGATTCTAGTTCTAGCCAACGAATAGATAATATATTTGTTAGTTTTGGAGTTTGAAATTGTTAGATTTAAGGCCAGGCCTCAAAAAACAAGCTTTTTTGCACAATCGATAAGGGTTGCATGAGCCCGTGAGGGTCAACGCCCTTGTTGACAAACAAAGCGGGGATGGGGAAAGAGAAAGTCCAGTTGCTTTGGAATTTGGTATGCATTTTGACCATGGGGGGGGGCAGTGGCAGCCACTAACAACACCGAGGGGTGGGAGGGGGAATGTTTCTTTGGTGATTTGTCATCTCAAAACATTGTCTTAAGTTGATGTTCGTTCTCTGACAAGTGTGAGAAGTGTTTTTTTCTGTAGTAGGCCTAAAACCATAAACCACCTTAAATCACCTTAACCTGTGATAATCCAACTCCTGATTAACCTGGATAAAGTAGGGTTGAGGCTTCCTGGACACGTAAAATTGCGGTTAATCAACAAAATAGGCCTACTATTGAGTGTATTGGAATACAATACAGTACGGTATTTTAAATTAAGGTAATTAACATATTGTACCGGTACTAAAACATAACTGAACGTTATATTTGACAGAAATCACAATGAATAAAACTTGTATTTGATCACAATGACACTGGTAAATAAAAAGATCTGGACTTTAAGATCAAATAAAATATTTAGGCCTACAAGACCCAAAATACCATGAATTAATTTCTTTGAAAATAATCAGTTAAAAACAGTTTTCTGTTTTTGAACAAAGAAATATATTTTTTTACTCTTCTTTCATGTTTTGTTACACAATTTTGTCTGCAATAATTGGAGCATTGTATTGCGAACTGGGTAAGAGGGGATGGTCTATGACCTTGGAGTGGGCCTGGGCCTGACTGGCGAGAGTGATTTATTTTTTATTGGTATGTTTACATCCTAACTGCCATTCCTACACAGAAAGAGACACTGCGGTTTCAAAAACACTGACTTGTAGTTAGGAACCAAGATGTGCCATTATTTCATTTCATATGAAATTCACTAAAACAACAGCCCAACAAACAGCAAACTTCTCTGAAAACTAACTTTATTTTCTATCAGTTAGTTTTTTTTAACACACTAATAACTTCTACCAGTTACTTTTTACGGGACTAACTAATAACTTCTAACTAGTTATAGAATAATTTGACTAACTTTCCCAGCTATCCAAACCATTGAAGGACAAACGTACTTAAACTATAAAAAATCAGGAACTATAACAAACTCAATTCGTTACGTGCAACAAACTCAATTTGTTACGAGCAACAAACTCAATTTGTTACAATATAAGTTTTACGCTGTTGTTTATTTTTAAACTAGACTTTTGTAATAACAGACCTGCACTAACAACAATCAAAGTCAGTCAAAGTATACCTATATAGCCTAGGCCTATCATACATTTTCATGTCGTAGTCTTTTATGTTTAGAGAATAGAACTTGTGAATAGAAAGATTTATTAAATCACCTTTCTTTTAAATTAAACCCAGCCTACCAGTATTATATAGGCTAAGTTTAAATATTTTAAAAGTTGCTTCACACTTAAGTGTGCAGTAAAATCTGATCAACCAAAATCAAGGAGGCAAGGCCGTTTCGGATCGAAATTGATTTATCGGTCAACCAATGGTTGAAATTTCAAGACCATGTTGGTTTAATGAGATACTGTATACAACAATTGTTTTTTATAGTTATTTTAATTACTGTTATCTTATAATCAACTACTGTGTACCTAGATACAAGATTAATTTCTTGAAACAGTCCAAAATTGTTTTCTGACCATTTCCTAACCATATTTACTTTTTCTTTAACATTATTTTCTTTATCACCATATGAGACAACGGTGTTGTCGTCTGCTCCATTACGATGGGCCAGTTTCCCACGCCACGGTATACAGTCCCTGTGACCCAGGCATTCTAATTTATTTGAATATTTATTTATCATGGTTTTTGTTAATTAGGATGTGGTTTAAAGGGATTTTGCTGCACTTTGGTTGAACTGTCAAAAAATTAAGTAAAGAACATTGGTGTACCAGCAAGTACGGTAAGTAAGTACAATGCATTAACCAGTAAGATGTTCGCCGTACCGAACAGAAAACTGAGACCAGAAAGACTTGAGTCTCCTTTAACAAGCTGAATATGATTCCAGTAAGAGGCAAATTTTTGAACTAGTACAAATGACTCCTAGTAACTCAGTTAGCACAGCTTTTGATTACTAACAGTCAAGTGCCAACCAATGAGCCTAGGCCTAGACGCTTCTTCCAGTGAACACAGAATAACAATAAAAGGGTCATAGGGAGTGTTAAGTAGTGGCTAATTTCACAAGCTGATGTTGCCCAGGAAAGATGGCGCTTGTTATTCTGTATTCGCTGGTTTCTTCCAATATTAGGCTAGGGAATTGAATTATTTCAGAGAACAACAGAACCTATACAGGTGTCCTTATAGGATGTTCTTAACCGGTAAATCAAACAAAAGTAAAAACAGTAGATATGATAATAACAGTATAATCATAGATACTGACAGTCTAATAGCCTGCAATTTTCTAGTTGTTTACAACCATTAACTTATTCCAACCAAACAAAACAAAACAGTGTACCTTTATTAGGCATTTTATAAGTGTACACTTGAAAATATGTTGGAGAGCAACACTTAAAGATAGCCTATTACAACTAAGATCAGCTGGTGGTAATGGTTGGTAGGGGGGCAAACTATAGGGAAAACAGTTAGTTTATTCCCTGTATGGTAATTTTTCAGTGACAATTTACGACACAGCCCTCACCCTAAATGCACTTCCTGAAGTGTGAAATTTTGTAAAAAGTGTGCAAGTTATAATAAAGTTTCGGAGGATAATAACTGGAGGAAAAGTGACACCAGTTCCAAAAATTAACCACAGTATAAAATCAAACCTAACCTAGCAAAAGTTCCTCAAAAACTGTAATTATAACTTACATAAAACATCCCAGTGAATATTTAATTCAGTTGGTTTTAAAAGCCTAAAACAACTAGGCCTAACAAAAATGTCTGTTTATCAGATACGGTAGTTTGTACCGTAGGTTAATTGTGTGACAAAAATATCTTTAACAGAAGGCCTATCACGATGGATATCAAGAAGAGGGCGAAAAAACATAAATTAAGCCTCGTTCACACGGGGCGAGTTTTCACGCTACTCGCCGGCGTGTAAGAAGCCAGCGTGTTGGCAAATGCGCTTGTATTCGTTCACACGGAGCTTGTCCACTTGCCAACTCGCCGACGTGTAGAAAGACGCCGGCGAGTGCGCTTGTAGTCGTTCACACGATGCTTTTTCCACTCGCTCAGTAGCTGGCTTGAACTAAATCCTCCGACATCTTCGAATAACATGCGCACAAGCACAAGCAACTGTGTTCACACTGGGCTACTTTACACGCCTACTCGCGCAATAGCTGGCGAGTTGGCGTGTAAAGTAGCGGCACCGTCAACTTTTTCCAGAGCTTTTTTACAAGCAGCTTTTGAGCGAGTATGTCGTTCACACTGAGCTATTTTACTAGCTGCGTGTAAAAAATCCAGCTTGTAGCTTGTAAACTCGCCCCGTGTGAACGGGGCTTTAGGCTAGGCCTATAGAGGTAGGCATACTTGTTATCCATCTAAAAGTAAGTAAACGCATTAGTACATGTGGATTGGATAAATTGTAATTGAACAAAGTATGAGTATTAAGTTAATGAGTATAAAAGTAGGCCTGGTAAGAGGAGATTGCGACTGACCTTAGGCAGATTATACACTGACCTTCAAAAATATGAGGGAGCAGGATTAAACTAATTTGTATATGAAATCCCTAGAATTAAAAGAAAAGACCAATATATAATAGCTTAATAAAGGGAGCTGATTTGTATAAGACATGTTATAAGACTCAAGGTTAGTAGGTAACTAAATCAATCTCTACATGTATTTGTAAATGAAACTTAAATCACAACATTGCCATTCAATTTAATTTGCATAATAATGCACTTAGTACAACTGAAAAATAATATTTCGCAAGATTATAGGCCTGACTAGGCCTATCTTCAACTTCTTCAATACTTATGACAACCCCACACCCTATTACTCATTTCTGGGTTGGACCCAGGCAAAACAATTTTCTAAGGCACAAAGTTTAGTTCTCTAGAGGTAGTGGTAAAAAATATTAAGATGAAATAATTACTGTGTTTATACTTACTTAGCTGCTAGGCCTACCTGGAATTAAAAATGAAAGCCAATACCCTAGTTTGTATTTGAGCATGTTAATTTCGTCTTGATTGGCAGGCTAAACTTATGTGTGAGTGAAACTTAACACTAATCACTCACTAGATAAATTGAACATAAATAAAACCTCGACATGAATTATATCCCAGCTAAATCACTAAGTACTACATTTAACTGAACAAGGTTCACTAAAACACACCTAGATATAAAAATTATGCTTTATGATATTCATAAGTTTGATATTCGGTACGATGTCGTCGCCATCTTGAAACGACGGACGACAGACAAACTCAAGTCAGCAGCCGACACCAGCATCACGGTCTATTATTGATCGCTAAAAAGCTATGCATTTTTGTTTCTGTGATGAATCATACTATAACATATATTATAGTGTATAATAAATGAAATCAGTGTCTGGCAGGGGCATATCAATACGACAGACTTCGTAAAAGAGTGGTTTAAGTGTCACGCTTATTATAGTGCAAAGCTTCTATAATAAATAACTTCTTGCTTGATCAGCATCGTACGTGTTATTAAATTACCTGAAACATACAAAAATATATACGTCTGAACACGTACGTATATATTTTTGTATTTTCTTCTATAATATACATATAAGGTGTACACAATCCTTGGAAAAACTGTTGGGGTTAATGTTAAAAGTACCCAAGTAGTAGAAAAACGAGAAAAATATTATATATCAGTTTTAAACTCATTTTAAAACTGTTATTAATATAAGTATGGTTGGCGACGGTTTCATTTTAAAATAGATCAAAAATTGTTTCCATTTATATTGCAACAACTTTAAAATTGACTCTACAACAATTTAAAAATAGTTTTCACATAGGACTAACCATCCCGTGGGGATTTTCTACATAATAATAATAAAGATTAGTATGAAAAGCATTATTGTCAGTTGAGTATTTTGATTAAATAGTTCATAAAAACCAATTTTTATAAAAAAAAACTAGAAAAAATATCTTCCCCAGATGGGTCTCGAACCTCGAACCTAAGACCTTCAGTTAATGAACCCCTTGCCCTACCTCTGATCTATCTGTGATTGTTGATATTATGTGTTTTCAAGCGAATAAAGAGGTTCCCAGTTGCAACGGTCGCAATACTTGAAAAATTTTACTATATTATGTTTAGGAAGCCACGGTAATTAAAAATTTAAATTCCGGCGACCCTTAAAACTTCTCAACCCCTAATTAATTGTTGCAATAACTAATTGCCTGGCTTCTGTATGGCTATAAACATTCGTGGCTTTCGTCCAGCGCCCGATTTTCCGGAGGAAACGAGGGTCGCCGGCATTTTATCCCCCTGGAATTTTACCCCCTGGGCAAAGCTGACGTCACTATGACGTAGTAGCCTAAGCACTCAAAAGTTTGTTCGCGGGTGGAATTTACCCCCGCAGATTTGGAAGTCTAATGAAAATAGACAGAGCGTGATTAATTAGATTAGCAATAAAACCGGAATGTTACCCCCTGTCCATAAAACTAGCGTTTAGACAACTGAAAATGTACGGGCCGGATTTTTACCCTGCGGAATTTTACCCCCGGAATTTAACCCCGAAATTTTTCCCACCGGAATTTTACCATACACCTATACCATACCATACCTATACCATTTTACCTATACACTGGCTGGATATAGAAATTATTAAGAATGATTGACTTTTTATTTATATTTTTATTTCATTGCAAACATTTTATTATTAATTAGACTATCTTTATTTATTTATCATGTAATCTCAACTAAGTAAACAGAACTCACTGTTTAATTTCGATCATATAAACCCTTAACTTCAATGATCGAATCCTGGTACTCGAATCTTAAAATTAAAAACCTGTTCGATTAGTTGATGTTACAAATAAATTAAGATAGGCTACTTAACAATAACATGTTTACTATTAAATTCAAACTGAATGAAGAGAATTAACCATTCCCACTAATTTATATATCTGGCCAGGGGGTAAAATTCCGAGGGTAAAAATCCGGGGGTAAAAATCCGGGGGGTAAAATTCCGGGGGTAAAATTCCGGGAGTAAAAATCCGGGCCGTACAGTTTGAGCTGTTCTCATGAAGGGGGTAAAAGTCCGGGGGTAAAATTCCGGCCCGTACACTCTAGGTTTTATAATTTGATGTGTTCTGATTAAATTCACAACTGTGAAAATATACGTTTAATTCCTCGTTTAATCGAATTGATGTCGCGAAACTCAAAAGTTCGCGGCCGGAATTTTACCCCCTGATTTGTGACGTCACGTTTGCCCAGGGTGTAAAATTCCAGGGGGATAAAAATCCGCTACCCCAGTTTTAATCCTGGGGACGAAAGCCATGACGGCGGGCCAGGTAGTTGGGAGGGGCGAAGGAGAAACGGGAATCTCTCACATGAACATGGAAATTATAATAACATGCAGGGACTGACACAAATATTTTGTTAAAGCTGTTTTACGATATTTCAATGAATTTTCAAATACAGTTGTACGTCATAGAGCTAAAAATAATGAAGGAGCAGACGAATGGACCCCTAATAATATATTCCATGTATATGATGACTGTTAATCGCTTAGTTAATTCTTTTGCTGTTTTAGATTCTTTTCCCGTTAAATCAATATCAAATATGTAAATAGATAAATTTCTATGTATTGGTGAAACTGTTTTCGATCCAATATGAACAATATTCATTCTTATCGTAAATGTTGGGTTTTTTACTCGTGCTTATGTGTACGATTAATTTACATGATTGCATGAAAATCACCATGAATTTTTATTTGAAATTGTATGATAGGCCTACAAATTGACGAAACCCCTTATTGTATTGACTTACTGCTTATTTTCAATACTGTAAACGTAAATAAGCAGCTGTTTATGAAGTGAATAAATCATTTCTTCTATTACGATTGTGTTACAAAACGTTATACGATATGTTGAGCTACTGTCAACAATAACTCAATAACTCATTGATTTATTGAGTTATTTTTAATGTTTTTGTAGAGAAATGTATGCATGACATTAAGTTCTAATAACACCTTTTACTGGAGATTTGAGGAGAGCCTGCAACGTTTAGGGCCTCTGAGGGTTAAATAAGTAGGTACCACAATAAAACATCATGCATTGTGTCTATGTAACGTCAAGTTCAGATTGGACTGACGAATTTGCTAATTTGCTTGAGAAGCATAAATAAAACAGGGAGCTTAAATTTCCCGTTCTCCCCGTGAGCTGCCACCCTGACAACAGTCTTCCTGGCTCGCAGTCGTGGCTTACGTCCCCTGTTTCGACCCTTCGTTATAATGTCGTGGCTTTCGTCCCCCAGCTTAGGGCCATAAACATTCGTGGCTTTCGGGAAGCAGCCGGAAAATCTGCCATGCACCTAATATGATGTTTAAATAAAAAATGTTATCAAAAGTACATTTTGTTTATTTCTTACCAAATTAATTATGAAAACTTATATCATTTACTAATCCAATTTTACAAGTTGTGGTTGGCCAATAAATGTGATTCACCTAGTTCAATCAGAGCTGTGACAATGTTCTATTACTTCCACTTTGGGCAAACTGTCAGTCGCTTAATCCAGCTGGCATTCGTTTTGAAATCTCGTTCATTCACAAATGTTATTTACTTATTAGCCAGCTAATGATTTGACCTGCCAAAAATGTGACTGTAGTTCAAGGAGAAATTTGCCAATGTCACCGATTGATTCGTTTGATTCAATGTCAATGAATGAGATCTAAGGCTTTTCACTTGAGATCTTACAACACCATATTATGGCCTGCCATAATTTGCAAGCTCCGGATCAGTTAGTCGGAACTAAATGCAGCTGTACAGTAGGAATCCAAAAGGTTGGAAAGCAGGAATCAACTAAACTACACCCACTGCAGCAAACCTGCAGACTAAGCGAATTTCCATTTGCCTGATGGGATTTTCACTTAAATATTGCCTGAAACATGTCAGATTTATTATCTATTAAAAATAAAATGGCAATTTTAAATTTACAGTACAATTTTTCCTGATATTGGTTGTATTAAACGTTGGTGCAAACAGCTCAGAGAGAATGCGTTTTTGCAAGGGGAAAACGTTCTGGACGAAAAGTGAGGAACGATTTTGAGTATCTGGCTGATATTGCTCGAGTGTCTGGAGATGGTCATATTGAACATCTCTGACTAGTATTGAATGAAAAACAAAACTTTGTCAATACTCTTTGTAATGATGTATAACAGAAGGTTCTACTGTATTATGTTTCTTTCATTAAATACACATTTTTAAAGTTGTGGTATTCTTTATGAATCACCCTGTATAATTTATATATGAAATTAAACGGATGGTGTAAGCAGTCAGAGTAACTTTGAGAATTTAAAGGGAAAATCAAAAAAACTTGAATTAACTTTTGAACCGTAATACAACATCAATGGGGATTGTTCCATTTCGTTTAGAGTTAAAAGGACTATCATACACACAATTTGAATCGAAATGGGTCAAGTTATATTTTGAAAATTCGATTTTCCGTGAATCACAAATAGGTTTTATGGAAAAAAATCTCAAAAGTTACAACAACTTTTGAACCTTATATTTACAGCAACAGGGTTTATACCATCTTGTTCAGAGTAAAAAGGAGTATAACATACTAAATTTTAATAAAAATCGTTAGGGCCAATTAAAAAAATTCTAGTTTTATCGTTTATTTTTTTGTGTTTGTGTGTCCTATGTACATATGTGAATTGAGGACCTTCTAATGAAGTGATCATGACATCCTTTGATATTTGAAGATGAGTTCTTGAAAGTTGAAACTATTTGCGTCATTAGTAATATCAGGTACTGTATTTACAAAAATGTATATAACAATTCATTTGAAGTAAAACCTTAACTCTAATCAGCTGTCTTTACCAAAAATATGAGTCCTGGTTTTAAGTAATGTTTGCATCTTTGTTGACAAACTTACGAGGGAAGAAGTGGGGTTTGTATTTTTTTATATATAGGAGGCAAGTGAGGATCAACTATATTTAAGTTTAATGATTCTGCTGTAATAATTACACAGTGCAAAATTAACACCTTGATATCTAAAGAAAAAAGTGCGATTTCAGAGAATTTCTCTAAACAAAGATCAACACACATTTAATCATAAAACAAGCAAAACGAGTAGTTCTCGTTATTATAATTAACAATTTTCTCATGAAAGCAGACTTTCTAAGTAATTATTTAGTAGGTTATAAAGAAGCAAAATTTAAACGGGGTCTGGCATCACCCCAGATTGCCCACTCTTCTTAATTGATAACTGTATTAGTTAATTGC